CCTTGAAAAATTCACACGACCTCGACACTTTCTGTCATTGACACAGATTGACCGAATTTTTCCCATACCTTCGATCCCATATGCTACACATCGCGTCGTATTTTCTTATTGGGTTCACGTTTAACGATAATGCCCGCAGAGCGACATGCGTGACACTAATTACAGGAAATTACAGGAAAACGCGAGGCAATTATAAGACCGTAGAAACGGAGCATTTCACAAGCCAGTACGTAACACGTTAACATGTTAATATTGCTCTTACCTCGATCACCATCCCACGCACATTCTGTATATTTTCCAACATGGCGCCAGAACGGGGTCATCGTTCACTGAACTTCACAAAGTAAACGAAAAAGGCACAATTGTAACACTATTCGAAGCACAGTTCGATCCGTTCTATCAAGCGAGAATTTCATTTCGCGGAGAACGCGCGGGAAATTTGACGGACACGATTACCGGACAAACGTTAACGTCTGTTTGTTAATTAATGCACGGCGTAGTCGTGCGAACAATACGGCGTCGATTGAATTTCGACAGGCTGGATTAACGCGTCCCGCACTGATCGACATGGAATTCACGATCGACACGTCAACACTCGCACCTTTTATTAATCGGTCACCCGTTTTGTTAATTATCCTTCATTACCGGATCGCCGCGATCGAAATAATCGGAACGCTGTTGGCCATCGTCACTGCACAACAGCTGTGTTCCCGCGCGAAATAGTGCAATAACGTCGAGAGCTATCGATAAATATCGAACGCGTTCGCTGTATCGATTTTCTTCGATTTTCTGTTTAGTCAATGGCGCTGTGCCACTGTTCGTCGCATTGTCGATACGAAAAGTGTGAAATGTGTTTGAAATTTATGAAGTTCTGAATTGCTGGTAGTTTATTCGAGGCTGTGAGTGTTTATCGATATTTACGAACACTCGTCGATGTGTGTTTATTCATAAAATTGTACTTTAGCTTGCAACGTGGTAGGTTAGGTTGTACATTTTTACGACCGCTTGTTTTTCATTCGTGTCCCTTATTTTTTCGTTTTACCGTTTATTTAGTTCGTTCACGTTTCGTATAAATTTTTGTACATTTCAATTTTAGATCGTATTTTGGTACCATGCATCCTGATTATGGTAACAAATTATTCTACCAGCCAGATGAATAAACTGTTATCGATTACGAGTGCTTAGCCGTGGTTATCGACGACGTTGATTTACATCTGTCGATAATTATCAACCTAAATTCAGGTATAACGATAAAAAATGAATGAATTAATGATTATTCTAGTAACAAATTAATTCCTCTCCTTCGATTAACATGTTACAGTGTCAATATGCCACGTGAAAATGTAGAACAAGTTATTAACATTGCACATGTTCAAATTCACCAAGTTTCCAATGAAAATGTGAAATACCTACATTTCCGTTCGTAAGTATTATAAGATTAAAAATTACTCAATTTAAAATCTCGTAGTACAGAAAGCACATATATCTCATCAAATACGTTCTAAAAAAAAAACATATGCTAGGTAATACATTTTTATTTATAAATCACAAAAAATTTTTAATTTCAGACGTTCCAATCCTTGCCGGTGATAGCAAACAGCAGTCGATGTCCTAGCAGAAGAAATTTCGCAATAACTCCTCCTCTTTGTAAAATTTTTCTTTCTAAAAATTGGAGGAGAAAGGTGAAAGATACGTTTACATTTTCTGTAGAAATTGAAAATTTTCATTTGATAATTACCTACGAAAAAAATTCCCAAACTTTACCTATTGTTAAACCCCCTTAAATCACACGATACTTTCCGTACGAGTATAACAGGTATCCCAATAATTATGAACGTCAGCGTACATACATCGGTATGAATATTTCATCCACCTTTATTCGATCATCGCTCTTCAATCAATAACTATCACATTTCCGTCACGTAGACATTAAGTTGCAGCCAGGTTGCACCACCTGTTATATCGCTGGCGAAATTACGAAATCCGGGATTATTAGCGATTCGAGCGTCGAAAATCCGCCACGTGCCGCGGTTTCCCCCCCACTTCGTTGACCGATCCCTCATTGACGAATTCGCCCGATGACAAATCGCGCCGCACGTGCGACTAACTGATAGCGCCGCGAGTTCCTGTAATCCGAGCGATCCCAAAGCCACCGGTGGCCGATTAGCGAACGCGATTGCGTCCAGTTAATTAGTGCGTGGCGATTGTTAGGCTGCCGCCAGGATTTCGTTCCACCTGAAATATCGTAGCGCTATCGATTTTCTCACGAACCGTACAGTTTCGTATCGTCTATGACGACAAATTGAACTAAATTAACTCCAAGACGAATTGTGAAAACAAAAGAAATTAGAATGATTGTTAATTGTAAAATGTAAAAGTTACTACAAAGAGTTTATTAATAATATCTTTGTTATTCTATTTGTATTAATGGAAAACTGCATGTTGGAAGCAGGGAGGTCTGCAGAAGTGTTTTTTCAGTAAATAATCCGATAGATGCAACATTATAAAGCGAAGATCGAGGAGGCGTTTGAACCTACGCTTTCAGCGTGGAACATTGCTGAATCGTTAGCGATAGATAGTATAAATATGCGAGCGTTTGCATAGACTTTGATGGATGAAACTAAACGTTCGCTAGAGGTTTTATAATTGAAGACTGACGAAGGATGCGTGGTATTAAATATTCAACGAATCTTTCGGTTCTACTTTTAAAGTGCTTTCTTTTTTTTCTTCGTGCTTTTATTTCTTCAAACAATTTTTCATCGATCTTTCCGATAGAGATTTCTCGAAAGCTCGAAGCATGTGAAACGTTACGTTACACTTCGTAAATTAACATTCAAGAGAAGAAAGAGCGATCTAACGATCTTTTCTAATGTAATCGTTTGTCAAAGGATCGAAAAATCTTTCGTAAACACTCGGTAGAAGATTTTTTTTTATATACAAACGTTTCGTATCACGTTACGATAGACGATATCAATTCTCCATCGACGTTGGTGCATGTTATATACCTACACGCGTGTTTAAAAACAGCTTGTCGTGACCGGTTAAATTGTATACACATCGAAAGAGAAATTGGTCGTGTTCAAATAAAATAAACACTTCCCCGTTTGAAGCTAGAACCACTAAACAAACCTGATCTTGTTCGTAATATCTGCGCGTATGTGTAAGCTCCGTTATTTATTTAAATAGTAGATATTTTCGTAAAATGTTCCGACTGAAGTTCAACTTCAACAAGCACTTTTTCTCTCTCCCGTGAACTAATTCGAAAAAGCTTTTCACGTAACTGTACGTACAGAACATATATAGCCTCAGTTATTTCCAGAGTTCCGTAATTTTCACCTTCGTATTATGCAATTTCACATTTCTATAAGATAAACTTGAAAGGTTAATTAACACGAAAATTTCCCTTGAAATTACATCAATTATTCTCTCCAGGCTGATAAGTGTAAACTTAAAATGTTGCTTTCTCAGCGAACAAAAATTAGACGTTTCAACTTTATGAATGATTATTAGTTCAGTTTTATGCGAAAATTAGGAAAGATTGTACTTTCAAGTAAATAAACGAAATTTGAAAAACGCGGTACAATTGATTAGTTACTATTTCCAAACGAAGTTGTTTTGAAGCTATTTATACACTCAATCGAGCTTGTCTCGTCTCTGTTATCACTCGGTTAGGTCACTTTTTCCGATGGAAGGACACGTGTCCTGTTACAGAGAGCGAGGGATGGGCGTCAAAGGAAGCAGCTAGTGACCTCGAGAAGCAACGTTTCTATTTAGGGCAGCCGATAGACGATAACCGTGCTCCAGGATGCAGCCTGATAGAAAGCGGCGCGTGCGATTTAATTCCATTGAGATAGATGGCCATTCATGTCCGCGACACAGTTCATCCTTCCACTGTCTTTCACTCTGCTGCGCCATGAATAATTCCCATACTCGTTCATTCCACGCGTACAGAACAATAAACAATTCGATCGATTATTCTTCTCCGATATATACGAGGTTTCGCTCGAAAAATACCCAAACTATTCGTGCAACGCGATATCTCGCAAGCGATGAGAAAAATTGACGAAAAATTGTGTTTCGAGATTTACAGCGATTTTTGCAATTTCATTCTCCTTCACCTTCGCGATTTTTAAAATGGAACTGATCGGAGTACAGTTTCAATTTTTAACAAAAACGGTCATTTTTTCTTACTTAGCTTTGCGTGACTTATTTTCTGCTTCTGATAGAAATAGGTTTCCAACTTCGAGGGCTATTTTCATCCCCCCCGGCGCGAACGATCACTGACAAAAAATCGGGTCAAATATGTTTTCCAGACTAACGTCACACGTAAATTTAATTAAAATCGGCGAGCGACACTCGGAGATGATCCCTCGTGAGACCAGAAGAGAGAACTTTTCGAACGATTCTAGAGTCAGTGGAAAATTCGTAGGATTCGAAAATCATTTCTGAAATTGTCTACGAAGAGTACTTCAATTTGGAGTCATTTTTTATCGACACAGTTCCCACTCGAACCTCGTATTTTTTCTCCCCAATTTTCACTTCCGTGCAAAAGCAAGAGTGAACGTGACGAGGAACGGTGTTCTCTGTCGCTCACCGTTCCAGGAAACAGAAATCAACGGGAGATCAGCGTGGTGGCGCTTATCTGCAGGTTTAATTAATTTCGTGCTGATTAGGGATGTTTTCGGTTCGTTAATGTAATTGGGTCATTAGATAACGCTTTGGAAACGGTAACAGCCAGTCTCGGAGCGGCCGTGGAACGGATGAACGATGCTGATTATAAACGTTGAAAATAAATGAAGACGAAAAAGAGCGAGAGAGGATCGCCGTTGTCCGGTGTGATACGACCACGAGCGTTATAAAACGATGACAACACGCGTGTACGACACCGGTTACGTTCTGGCGGATGATAAAAATTGGAAACTGGTTGCGAGGCTTCTGGCGTGATAAACGAACGGACAGAACGTTTAGAGATGCGCCGGTGGTGAAAATATACGTTTAAGATGGCTTATAGTTACGATATCGAAGAAGTACCGCCTGACGATGTTCCATGCGTCGAGCATGATATACGACGCGCTAAAAAGTTCCTTCAGAAACATAGTCCAGAGTCTGGTGATAGTCTGTAAGTTCGCTAACCTATTTAGCTGAAAATAGTCGCTTCGTTCGGGAATAGTTCCAAGTAAGAGGTTAAAATTAACGATAAAAATGAAATTGTGGGATGAAGGGTGCTTTGTACTTTGCTTAGGCAGAGTGTACATTGTCTATTGGTGAGCAAAGTATTAACACAGTTGTGATTTTTTAAACACAATCATATATATATATATAAGTTGATGATAAAGTGAGTTGCTTTGGGAAAAATTAAAATTTTAAATAATTGGAATTTTGTAGAATAAGACAATAAATAAATTCTATGTTCAACAATTTTTTATTTCGTCTTACAGAAATAAGGCACGAAATAAACATTATCGAAGGTAGAATTTATTATTTTTCGTCCTGTTCCATAAAATTCCATTTTTTCCAATTTGAATTTCTCCAAAAGTAACTTTGCTAGTTTCTTTAAATTATTAAATTTCGCGTATTTTTTATTTCGTCTTACAGAAATAAGGCACGAAATAAAAATCATCGAAGGTAGAATTTATTATTTTTCGTCCTATTCCATAAAATTCCACTTTTTCCAATTTTAACTTTTTCCAAAGTAACTTTGCTAGTTTCTTGAAATTATTAAATTTCGCGTATTTTTTATTTCGTCTTACAGAAATAAGGCACGAAATAAAAATCATCGAAGGTAGAATTTATTATTTTTCGTCCTATTCCATAAAATTCCACTTTTTCCAATTTTAACTTTTTCCAAAGTAACTTTGCTAGTTTCTTGAAATTATTAAATTTCGCGTATTTTTTATTTCGTCTTACAGAAATAAGGCACGAAATAAACATCATCGAAGGTAGAATTTATTATTTTTCGTCCTGTTCCATAAAATTCCACTTTTTCCAATTTTAACATTTTCCAAAGTAACTTTGCTAGTTTCTTGAAATTATTAAACTTCGCGTTTCTAATAAATATTCAACGACTAGAAAGTGAACTTAACCCGAGCCCAGCCCGCACTAAAATGTCAACACTCTGCCTAATGTTTGACAAGACAACGTACACACCACCTAAGCAAAGTACGAAATGATATTCTTAAATCGTCGCGCTTCAAACACCGCCCGTACTTTACGCCTCGCCGATAACAGACACGTCTAATTGGCGGATTAGCCTTTCAGGAATACCGCTTGATCTATAAGGTAATTTATACCGCTTTCGAGGAAACCGTAACGCGGTTATCAAAGCAGAAGCGCTTCGAAATAATAATCACCTACTTCCCCGCATGATGTATTGTTAATTAAGCACGGAAATACGTACCCGTTTGTAGCCATTCCTTTATTACCGCACAGTCATGAGCTAACGGTGAAATTTCATTGGAAACTGACCCCGATCCGGAATAATTCCCAGGTACGATCACTTGACGGAAGTGTTGGCCAAGATACTGGAAGAAAAGCCAAGGAACGCCGTGGATATTTTCGAGGAGTACAGCAGAAGGGTGAAGGAGGAGAGGTTCAAGTCTCAGTCTCATCATCTTCGAGATGTGCACGTTCCTCCGGCGCAGTTCGAGGAGGCGAGGAAGCTCGTCAAACTGTTCAAAGTGCGGACAACCTGCAATTAACAATTAAATCGAAGAGCCACGGTTCAGCTGTCTTGCAAATAACAACGAGGATCCTGGGAAAGTTGATTGTTATTCGAATGTCGAGTGATTCGAGCGTTCGTTCTGATTGCAGGATGTTGGGAGGATCTACGAGGAGAAACTGGCGAAAGAGAAGGAGGGGGAGGAGGAAGAGGAGGAAGAAGAAGGGGACAAGACGAAGAAAATTCCCAATTTATTGGATCTTTTGTTCTATTTCGAGCAGACGAACGTTGGACTGCCCCGCAGAGAGATGGTTTTGCTTAATTTGTCGATTCGAAAGCTAGTGGCTGAAGCTCCTATAGAAAACGTCAGGCAAGTAAATGGAAATTGTTGCTTGACGTGAAAGTGAAATTGTTACTTGAGCGTGTTTATTAGCGGTTTATTTTCGTAGATTTTGGGGGAAGATTCTTGGAAGGCCGAAGAATTATTACGTAGTTGAAGCAGATCTTCGGGAAGAAGAGCTTAACGGTAGATTGGAGGTAAAAGTGAAAGAAAATTTACATCTATTTCTGCTCGTTTTCTTTTCCGATTTTTATTCCGGCACGTTTCAAGTGTACGGAAGATTTGTCTGAATCGCGACAGGGAGAATTAATTCGGGAGAGAAAGAGTTTTTGAGTGTGGCGAACGCGTCCGCAGAGAATAGCAGCGGAGGAGGAACGGAAGCGTGAATTGGAGCAGGCGAAAGCGGAAGAAGCGGCGCGAGCCGCGGAAGAAGCTGGTGGAACCGTGGAAAGGGAAACGGCGGATGACGACGAAGAAGCAGAGCCAGCGGAGGAAAAAGAAGGCGAAGGCCTGAAGCTCGTCTTTCCGCCTCTGCCTACTCATTCATGGGAGCCACCGCCGGAAGTGCCGCCGGAAAGAATCGGAACTGGCGTGAACGTCAAGGTACAATTGTGGATTTCTTCGACATACAGCTAGGAATAAGCGAGATTCTTTTGAAAATTCGAGCGAATCGCTATTTTACCGTCTCTGTGAAAGATAAATCAAGTTGTTTGGTATATGAGATTATGTTCAATTTAGTGTAGTAAATTATAAGCAGCGGAGAGTATTTCAATTTTTCTTTTAAATACAGATCGAACTTTTTTTGAAAC